GACACTTTCTGTGTACCTAATTTAATTTAGCAGTTACAGCCACTTTTATCTTTATTTATTTATATACTTTGGTGTCAGGTGTTTTATTTATTTATTTATTTATTTTTAGATTTATTTATTTTATTGGAAAGCCAGATGTACAGAAAGATAGAGAGACAGAGAGGAAGATCTTCCGTCCAATGATTCACTCCCCAGGTGGCTGCAGCGGCTGGTGCTGCCTCGATCTAAAGCCAGGAGCCAGGAAATTCTTTCAGGGTCTCCCACACAGGTGCAGGGTCGCAAGGCTTTGGGCTGTCCTTGACTGCTTTCCTGGGCCACAAACAGGGAGCCAGATGAAAGTGGGACTGCCAAGATTAGAACCGGCGCCCTCATGGGATCCCGCACGTTTAAGGAGCTGGTTTCTGAGTTGCAAAAAATATATCAATTTATTAATAATAAGATGGCCAGTTACACTGTGATATGCTTTTCCTTTAAAAAAAAAATTTTATTTTTCATTAGGCAAATTTGCAGAGAGAAGGAGATACAGAGAGAAAAATCTTCCATCTGCTGGTTCATTCCAGAATTGTCTGCAACTTCCAGAGCTGAGCCAACCCTAAGACAGGGGCCGGGAGCCTCTTCCAGGTCTCTCATGTGAATGCAGGATCCCAAGGCTTTGGGCCGTCCTCAGCTGCTTTTCCAGGCCACAAGCAGAGGGTTGAATGGGAATTAAGGGCTCTGGGATGCAAGCCTGTGCCCATATGGGATCCTGGCACATGCAAAGTGAAGAGTTAGCCACTAGGCTACCATACTGGGCCCATTTTTTCTTTCTAAGTATCCATTTTGTTTTGTTTTGTTTTAGTATCCACTTTTTAAAAAAGTTTATTTTATTTTTATTGGAAAGGCGGATAGACAGAGAGGAGAGACAGAGAGGAAGATCTTCCATCCGATGATTCACTCCCTAAGTGAGCCACAACGCCCGATGCTATGCCGATCCGAAGCCAGGAGCCTCTTCCGGGTCTTCCATGTGGGCACAGGGTCCCAAAGCCTTGGGCCATCCTCAACTGCTTTCCTGGGCCACAGGCAGGGAGCTGGAAGGGAAGTGGGGCTGCCGGGGATAGAACCGGTGCCCATGTGGGATCCCGGGAGTGCAAGGCGAGGACCTTAACCACTGTGCCACAACACCGGGCCCGAGTATCCACTTTTAATGTCTGAACCTGTTTAGTTTTCATAAGAACTTTATGAGACACTTCCCATACTACTCTGTGTTAAGTAATTGAGGCACAAAGAGGTGAAGAAACCTGCCTAGAGTCAGCCTACCTGGTATGGCCAGGGTTTATAGCCCAGCACTCTGACTGCTTGGTATAGATTCTTAGCTTTGACCCTAGTTTGGCTGTCTTGAGTCGAGTTGGGTTGGGTCGACTGGGCAAGGAGTGCATCAATCTCCCTGGTACAACAAGCATTGTTCAGAATCTCTGTTGCCAGAGAGGCACTTGGTCCAAGGCCCCCATTGCTCATCCTGAACAGGTTATGGCGGCACCAAGCCAGATGTGATCCTCCTGCTGGAGCAGGAAGAGGCACCATGGATCAGCGAGGTGGCGTGCCCAGGCTGCCACTGTCAGGGTGAGTGTCCCAGATCGAGCCGAGCGGATATGTGGGAAGCTGACCACTTTCAAGTTTTGTTCAGGGTGTCATAAAAGCTTGGGCATTTCTCTGAGAGCTTCAGTCTTCTTGATGATGCTTTAGCCTTCACAGAGCCCTGACTCCACTCTCTGTCTGTACTTACCTCTGCCCAGAGCTGCTGCACCCATCATTCTGTTTTCCGAATCTGTCATGTACCACCTCTTCCACATTCAGGTATTCTTGCCAGACAAGCATCCGCAACCCTTCCATTCTTCCCTGCCTCTTCCTGCCTCCTGTTCCAGCACTGTCCAGGGCAGATGCTTCAGGCCTGTCTACCACTGCCACCGTCTCACTGCCTGTCATTTCCTCATTTCTTTTGCTTAAAGTTAAGTCACACCCATTGACAGAGAACTGGAATCTCAGAGGATGAACGGGTAGAGAGATGACCGGGGCAGCAGCTGAATGGTGAAGCAATGTGTCCGAGCTGGGCCCATTGTAACCACGTCTGGTGAACACTCAACAGAACTGTCAGCTTTGTAAAAATATCCCCACAATACTCCCAGCTTTCTTGAATGTTGGTGGCCTTGCTGCTTCTCCAACGTCATTGTGGGCTTAGTCAGAGCCAGTGCCTGCTATCCCTGCATCTCTTTAATACACTTATATTTTGGTGTTGTGAACACTCAGTTGAATTTGACGTTATGGGTTGAATTCGAGTTTATGGTAGGAAGCACGATGGTGCACTCATTGTGCACCCATTCTCTTGAGTAGTTGAGGTATAGCAGTTGATTTAACCCTTAAAACACCTGTGAGGTAGCCAGCTTTACTACTCCATCTTGAAATGAGGAAACGTCAGAAGAGTGTTGTTTAAGAACATTACAAAAACATAAGGGGAAATTTGAACTCAAATGTGCAGACTCCAGAACCAGTAGCGTTAACCACTGTTCCTTGATGCTGTTTATGGGGCTTTCGTACTTCATATATCTGTCGTCAGCTTTTCCCAAAACCATGGTAACCTTGATATCCATTGTTCTACTCCCTTTTCTGAGAATGTTATACCTGAAAACCCTACTGTGTGTATTTACTCAGCCCTCACTTCTAGGCCAGGCTAAAATCAGGAGCCAGGTACTTCATCTAGGTCTTCCCCACGGGTGGCAGGGGCCCAAGTACTTGAGCCATCTGCTGCTTTTGCAGGTGCGTCAGCAGAGCACTGCATTGCTTGGAGAATGCTGCTGCCGCAGATGGAGGCTTTAACCTGCTGTGCTCCAATGCTGGCCCTTCAGCTCCCCCTCCCCACTTTTCTAAGTTCTCCATATTCTCTGTTTTCCTGACCTAAGTGTGTCCTTTCCCTTCCAAGAAGTCATTGACATTTCTGTTTTCCATAATTTGTTTCTCAAATGCGATCAGTTTCTCAAAGAACTTACCCATTCTGACGCCACGTGATTCTCAACTTGGCCCCTTTGTCATTTTCTGCCCATTTATTCCCTTTGTAGCACCCAGTCCTTCCCCAGCCCTGTTTTACTAATGGATCATTTCTACAAGTGTGTCCTCTTACACTGTTCTTGCATGTCAGAAATCAAGGTGTTCGTTCCTCCTGGCTACCTGTCACCAGACACAAACCTCACCTGCTTCTTGTTACAGAGCTTTACTGCCAGTCATTTTGAACCTTTTACCTGCAGCATTTTCACTAACTGTTCTATGCTTATGTGCTGGTTTTATAGATTTCTTTCTTCTGAGAAACTGCTTTAAATCTTTCTCCTCAGTTTTTCCTTTAACCTAGACTATGTTATATCTGAATCTGTTTCGTCGGAGGGCTTGATTATTTTGTGCTGTGTTCTTAGATATTCTGTTGAAGGTTATGGAGCCCCTCTTTATAAAGTCAAAATAAAATCCATCAGATTATAAAAGAAACAAATGATGCAATACAGTTATCCAAATATTGTCAAAGTGTATCTTATGGTGCTAGATGTGGTTTCTTATTTATACATTAGATAATAACTGATCTCTAGCAGTGGATCTAATAACTATGATGATCTCAGAGTAGAATTATCCATGTCTTGAGTAATCTTCAACAACTGAACCATCACATCACAACTCCATGACCACAGAATAGTCCGTAGTCGTAGGATCTGCTAATATTGCTTGTTGTGCTGCTTATATTTATAATCAAAGGAAATGTTCAGTTATAATTCCAGCTTAGACAAAATAAGGATGCAATTTTTGTCTTAGCCAAATTCATGACTCCCCTGAATTCTACCCATCATGTTAAAAACCCCTATGGTTAATCCTTGTTAGCTCTCGTGGTTCCACTCTTTTGTTTAGGTCACCGAATAGTATTTGGTCATTTATATTGTAACTAAGTGGGCCAGCGTAGCAAACTCTGATAAATTCCATACAGTGTCACACTCTGACACCACCCAAACCTCTTAGGAAATACAGATTCGAATTCAGTAGGTCTGGGGTGACGCCTAAAATTCCGCCTTTTTAACAAGTTGCAGTGGGATTAAAGTTGTCCTCTGAATCGTTGCACGATGAATAGCAAGGTGCTGTGTGCAACATCTTTCTTGCATAACAGGATCAGCAAACTGTGGCCTACATCTTATCTGTTTTTTTAAACGAGGTATTTTTGTAATTAAGCCAAACCTAGTGTTCACATACTGTCTATGTGTTCATGCTGTAGTAGGAGTTAAAAAACAGTGACAGAGGCTGTATGGCCCACAAGACAGCTTCTCAGTGGCTGTTCTACAATATTCCATTTTCTTTGAAATCATTTCTCCCCATACTCTTTCCTATGTTGCATTCCTTTTGTGCCAGGATTCTGAATCTTCTTTATTCACAGAACATTTTTTGCTTACATTGGTATTTTTTGGCTATGACTCATGATCGATCTCAATATGTATATAGCAGATCTCTTCAATGTCATTTCTCAAGTAGTTTTATTCCAGATCATAATAGTAGAAAGTCATGAGGAATGATTCGTTACTTCCTCCAGAAGACATCTGCGAAGTGAAGGTTCCGAGGAAGAGACAGCAAGGCGTGCTTTGGCGGCAAGGTGCACTCACCAGCAAGAAAACATTGCCCAAGGAGAAAAGCCAGGAGTGTAAGAAGTTTGAAAAAGTATCAGTTCTGAATACTGGGCGTTTTCCTTCAACTCAAAGTCCCTGGGACTCCTGTGGGAAGAGTTTGAGCCGTAATTTAGAAGTGAGTGGTTTGAAGAGAAACTACCCCCAAAAGCAAGATGAGTGTTACGGATATGGGAAACTGCTGCAGCATACAAATCATGATAGAAGGCCAAATGGACAAAAACCCTGGGGATGCAGACACTGTGAGAAAGCTGTCAGCCATATCCCAGCACTTGCGTATAAACCAGCACTAACCACTTCTCTTTTGCACAAACGCAAGAGGGTGCCTCCTACAGAGAAACCTCATATATGCACTGAATGTGGGAAAGCCTTCTGCTATAAGTCTGAATTCATTAGGCATCAAAGAAGTCACACAGGGGAGAAGCCTTATGGATGCACTGACTGTGGGAAGGCCTTTTCCCATAAGTCAACCCTTATTAAACACCAGAGAATTCACACTGGGGTTAGACCCTTTGAATGTTTTTTCTGTGGAAAAGCCTTCACCCAGAAGTCACACCGCACAGAGCATCAGAGAACACATACGGGAGAAAGACCCTTTGTGTGCAGTGAATGTGGGAAATCATTTGGTGAGAAGTCATACCTCAATGTCCATAGAAAAATGCATACAGGAGAAAGACCGTATCGTTGCAAGGAATGTGGAAAGTCCTTCAGTCAAAAGTCATGTCTCAACAAACACTGGAGAACTCATACAGGAGAAAAGCCCTATGGATGCAGTGAATGTGGCAAAGCTTTCTACCAGAAACCAAACCTCAGCAGACATCAGAAGATTCATGCAAGAAAGGATGCCTACAGGCCTGAAAATGTAGTAATTGTGGGAACTCCTTGAGCAAGATGGCTTCAACCTATAGAAAGGTATTTATCCTCAGGAGAAATCAATGCATTTTTTTAAAGATTTATTTTATTTTTATTGGAAAGGTGGATATACAGAGAGGAGAGACAGAGAGGAAGATCTTCCATCCTATGATTCACTCCCCAAGTGAGCACAACGGCCAATGCTATGCTGATCCGAAGCCAGGAGCCTCCTCCGGGTCTCCCACTTGGGTGCAGGTTCCCAAAGCTTTGGGCCGTCAACTGCTTTCCGGGGCCACAAGCAGGGAGCTGGGTGGGAAGCGGGGCTGCCGGGATAGAACTGGTGCCCATATGGGATCCCGGGCATGCAAGGCTAGGACCTTAACCACTGTGTCACCGCGCCGGGCCTCGCAATTTTTTTAAAAACAAAAAGTAAAATAACTGTAATATTTAAACTGATAAACTGTACTCTCTACTTTATGAAATCAGCATTAAGTGTAACAGAAAAAGGGCAGGTTGAAAAAAATTTCAGGTCATAAATACCAAAATAATACCAAGCAGAATTGAGTAATATGCTTAAAGAATGATAAATTATAATAATTAATTATAGATTAATTATAAGATTATAGAATCAGTTTAGTAATGGGAAATATGTCAATAAAATTATCTTTAAGGAGAAGACTCATGTTATTAACAGATGCTTCCAACGTTATTTGATGGCACTTAAGCCATATGTATATATATATTTTTAAGATTTATTTATTTTTTATTGGAAAGGCGGATATACAGAGAAGAGAGACAGAGAGGAAGTTCGATGATTCACTCCCCAAGTGAGCGCAACAGCTGGAGCTGAGCGAATCCAAAGCCAGGAGCCTCCTCTGGGTCTCCCACACGGGTGCAGGGTCCCAAAGTCTTGGACTGGCCTTGACTGCTTTCCCAAGCCACAAGCAGGGAGCTGGATGGGAAGTGGGTCTGTCGGGAGTAGAGGGATTAGAACCGGTGCCCATATGGGATCCCAGCACGTTCAAGGCGAGGACCTTAACTGCTATGCTATTGTGCTGAGCCCCCATATATATTTTTAATGAATTCAATATTGCTTTGGAAAGTTCAGTGAAAGCAGTAGAAATTAGCATAAATAATTGGAATAAAAATTGGCATAAATGGGATAAAATGATTCCTTTTTTCTGATGGCATGTCAACTTACCATTAAATGAAGCCACTCAGATAATTTTTGCATTCACAAATTTTTCAGTAAAGATAAGGCGCAGAAATCAAGAGCTGTTAACTATACTAACAATAAAGACCTAATAATTTATTTGGAACTTCTGGAATTACTCTAAATCCTTTGGTTTTGTTTGCTCATGTGAAATGAGTTCAGTTTATATAGACAATTAAATGCCCGAGCATCTAAGAAAAAAAAATGAAAAAAGAAACACAAGAGATATAAGAATATAACATTTTGACATATTAATATGAACTAATACAATTTTGGAAAGGAGCCGATAAATGTGTCAATGAAACGATAGAAAATTCAGAAACAGACCTTGGTAGATATGAGTTTTTCATATATGAAAAGAGTTGAAGTCATAAGCTATAGTGGGAAACAGTGATTTTTATCTTAAAATAATTGTTATAATTGGCTTTTAATTAGAGACAGTGAAGTTGTATCTAAAAGGAAGTTTAAGGCTTAACATTTTAAAGTAACAGCATTCAAAAAATCCAAAGTGACTCTACCCACCATAGAGTAGCAGGAGAAGATGTCCAATATAGGGTACTCAAAAACTATTTAAAACTAAGTTGACTTCATAAAAAGCGTAGTTCTTTGAGCGGCAAAGGATGTCATTAACAAACACAGAGGGTGATAGCAGGGAGTTACACTCACAGGTGATCAGGAATCTTACTCTAAAAAGAAAAAAAGCAGCTAACCTAGTAGCAAAATAGGGCAAAGAACATACATAGAATATGAATAAACAGTTGTGAGGAAAGCAAAACTAACTGATGAACCTATCAAAAAATGCTAAACTTCAATACACGTTAAGGAATGTGAAGTTCAAGTGAGCTGACACTGTGATTCTCATCAACTGAGGGTGGAAACAGATTTTGAAAAAGCAATACCAATTACTCCGCAAAGCAATCCAGTAGAATCTATTAAATTCAATTCTTTATGCCTCTTTGGAGAATCTTCCCCTTAAAAGTAAAACTTTATCCTGGCATCTAAGGAGTAGAGAAATGAAGATAGTAACTGTAAAATTGTTCATAATGGCAAAAAAAAAAAAAAATGCCCTTCAGTACAGAAATTGGGAGAAGGAAAGAACTATAGTATATAAACTATAGTAAATAAATAAGAATGTTTATATAATCATGAATGTGGACAAATTAAAACTCTGCTAGTGGATAGAATGTAATTCCAGTGTTTTCTTGTGTGAAAAAAAGCATGATATGTACTGTGGTAAAATATTACATTTTGAGAAATCATCAACAAAATGTCTAAGTGTTTATGAGTGATAAATATGTATTAATATATGTCTATGTGATTTTGTGTCATGGAGAAAAGTAAAGAAGAGAATGTACTGGGTTGGGGGGAGGTGGGATTGGAGGTATGGGGGGGTCGGAGGGAGAAAGAGATGGAAAGACAAAAAAAAAAGAACATAATGACTGAACTAAGTATGTCTCCAATGAGTAATAAAAGATACTTGGGCAAGATGTGAGGGGAAGGGAGACAGAATTTTAATAAGCTGTGGGATGTTTGTTGCAAATTAATTGAAAAGGAAAATTTGCATATACGATCCTATTTTTTAGAAAATATCAAAGCTATGTGTTTATGCATGTTTCTATAAATGATAAAAATGTGAAAGAACACATACCAAGTTATTCACATTTATTATCTTGGAGGAACAGTGTGTAGGTAGTTATTTAATTTATGTATCTGTATTGTTTTTTTAACAGTGCTTTTGTACTTTGAAACATAAAATAAAGGAGAAGCTATTTCAAAATGCCCGAAGGCTTTAAGCTGTTTTTGATTTTCTGTTAAGATGACACCTTGTCCTGGTTTTCTGCCTTTCCCTCAGCGCACTCCTGGGCTTGTCATGAGACTGAGAGGAAATATGTAGATCTGAAGCACAAAAGGTTTCTCACAGGTACAGAGTTGTGTTTTATTTCGAAATAACTTTAGATATAAAGAAGTTACTTTTTCTTTTTTCAAAGATTTGTTTATTTTTATTGCAAAGTCAGATATACAGAGAAGAGACAGGAAGATCTTCTGTCCAATGATTCACTCCCCAAGTGACTGCAACGGCTGGTGCTATGCTGATCCAAAGCCAGGAACCAGGAACTTCTTCCGGGTCTCCCACAAGGGTGCAGGACCCCAAGGTCTTGGGCCATCCTCGACTGCTTTCCCAGGCCACAAGCAGGGAGCTGGATAGGAAGTGGAGCTGCCGGCGTCCATATGGGATCCTGGCACGTTCAAGGCGAGGACTTGAGCCACTAGGCCACCACGCTGGGCCCTGACATAAAGAAGTTACAACAGAGTTCTTTAGCCTTCTCTCGGCCTCTTCTAATGTTATTGAACCTCAGCACAATTATCAAAAGAGGAAATTAACAGAGATATAATTGTCATGATTAAGCTGCAGTCATTTAAATTTCAGCAGAGGTGGGCTTTGGGCATTGCACACAGGAACAGGGGTTAAATGCCCACCTGGGATTCCCATATTCTCTATCAGGGTACCTGTATTCAAGTACTGTTTGGTTCCCAAGTTCAGATCCCTGCAAAGCACTTCTTGGGAAGCAGCAGGTGTTAGCTCAAGTTGCCGGGACACTGTTACCCGTGTTGGAGACCCAGATGAGGTTCCCAGCTCCTGACTGCCTCCTGGTTTCAACTCTGGGCTTGCAAGCATTAGGGGAGTGAGCCAGTGCATGGGAGCTACTTCCCTCAGTGTCTTTCTCAGACTTTTGAAAATTTCAAGAGCTTTCTCACTAATATTCTTTGTCTGATCCAAGATTCCCATGGTGCACCTGCCATTTCTTTCCTTCAATCCATACTCTCTCTTGCCTTCCATGACTTGGACTCTTGGGGAGACTATTGGTCAGGATTTTTTTTTTTTCCTGTGGAGTATCCCTCAATTTGCATTTGGACTAAAGTTTTCTCTGATTACATAGAGGTTATGCATTCGTGCTTAATACCAAAGAAGTGACATACCCTCCTTGGTCCATCATGTCAGAATACATGTTATTGACAGGCCTTTTAACCTTCAGCTCAATAAATTGTTATGGGGTAGATTCTAGTAATTTACAGCAAATAATTGATGGTTTGATATATGTATACATTGTGAATTGATTAAACCAAGTGAATTACTGTACCTTTCCCTTCATATACTTTTTATATTGAGGTTAATATGCTTGTAATGTTCAAGTACATAGTATGTTGTCAATGATAGTCGCTAGATCTCCTGAGTTCCGTGGAATCATATCATTATACATTTTGTATGTTTCAACGAACATCTTCCCATTTTATCCACCCCCCAGCCCCTGACAATCATTGTTCTGCTCTGCTTCTCTGAGTTCAGCTTTGAATTACACCTGCAAGTGTAAGAGAGACAATGCGGTGATTGTTCTGTTGGTGTGACTTACTTCATGTGGATGTCCTCGGGGTGATCCATGTGGCCAGGAATAGCAGGATTTACTTTGTTTAAAGCCTGAATGCCGCTCCACTTTATCCCTCCCGTTTATCCTCTCATCCACTGATGGACACTTATGTTAATTCTACATCTTGGCAAGTCTGGAAAAAGCTGCAAAATGAACATAGGAGTCTAAATATCTCTCAATGCACTGATTTAATTTGGGTATACAAAAGAAGTGAGACTGCTGGATCTCGTGGCTATTCTATTTTGAGATTCTTGAGAAATTGCTACACTATTTTCCTTAATGGTTGTACTAATTTACATTCCCTCTAACAACGAAGCTATCTAGAAGGCCATTTGGCACACTCATTGAAGCCAAGACACTCTGTAATTGGCTATGCATAACATATGAATTCCCAGTAATTAAAAAGTTCAGGGAGGAATGCTGAACTTGTTAGGTAAAAAGCCCTAAGAAAAAATTATCCTAAGAAAAAATTGTCCTTGTTCAAAGTAAGGGAAAGAAACCCGG